TTTCCTAAACTTTCGGAAGTACCCCGAGCCAAAAATAGAAAATCTTCTGGGTTATCGAGTGTGCTGAATACGAAAAACCACTTTTCAGCAACTCTAAACGAACTTTATTTTTTTTCCGGTGATATGAGACGTAATTTGTTTCCCAAAACGTTACTAATTAGCAGTTGTTTAGAAATATTGGATTCCTAAGCGGTTTATTACTGTGTCCACGCAAGCCATTTTCTAAATAACTTTTGACTAACAATAGTTAGAGAGTTGCGGACTAGAGTCCTGCAGGACTGGTATTTGGTGACTTGCGGTGGCATTGAAATCGCATGAAAGATATGTAGTCAACAACGGTAAATCTGATGGCGTTGCTCATTTTTGGAAAATAATTCCAAAACAGGTTTATGTTCGGTTTTCCAGAGATCTCCTGGAAAACCGGTTTTTTATAATATTTTTGGAAAGCTCATGTGGTACATAAAGATGCAACGATGTCTTGGCTGTCGAATGACGAAGACCGCAACTCTCTAACTATTGTTAGTCAAAAGTTATTTAAAAGATGGCTTGCGTGGACACAGTAATAAACCGCTTAGGAATCCAATATTTCTAAACAATGGGCTAAAAGAACTGCTAATTAGTAACGTTTTGGGAAACAAATTATGGTACCCTCCCCCTTAAAACGAATGAATTTATATTCGTAATGTTAAATGCCTGTAACTCGGTCGCCCCTTGAATTTGAGCACTTAAGAATTTTTATGAAACACCCTCCTGGCATCTTCAGTATGCAAAGAAACAAATATAACTGATTAACATAGTTGTATTTATGAGTCGAATGCATCAATTACTTATAATCGGTAAGATGTCGCTTTAGTACAATCTCAGAGCTCAACAACTGTCTTGAGTAAAAAAACATGAAGTCTTACCGTCAGACAATTGTAATCTTAATTCAAGAACTTTTTGCTGTGTACATAATTACTTCACTTTTCTTTCTTTCTTTTTTAAACAAAGATGCTTTTTATTTGAGTAAATCACTTACCACATGGATAATGGCGAAGCACACAACAAAGCTTTTGGCATTTTGCTCAAATTGAGATGCGTCAATAGCAAATGCTATGAGCAATTCGGTACAATCGATGTAAAAGTCAAAAACTTGAGTTGAGTATAGAGCATGGTTCAAGGATCGTGACATTTTGTTCATTAGACGATCAATTTAGAATATAATCGGTAATTACTTTGGCATTTCATAATTTTCTGTGTCTTACCGCATGATTAGAACTTTTTCTCCGTTTACTGAAGCATCATGGCGTTTCCTACCGTTTAGAGTTTCTAGTAGAAATTTTTTGCTAATGCTATGGTCAGGCGGTACAGTTAATCGTGTTATCCTAGTGAAAGTGTTACAGCAAAGTATATTTCAGATCTTCAAAGTTTACATACACTTTGCCATTTTTAGTAGAAATCGAGCATAGCATCGTAATCTTCCCATCAACGTTCAAAAGGGAATAGCAATAAGGAGCGCCGATTTGGGTACCGAAGAGCACTGACTTATATTATCGAGTACTTTTTTTGCGAAATCGAAGTAGATAAAATCGAATATTGCATTATTTAATAATTATTTTCTCAATAAAAGAAGCCATATACCATGTCTAGAACACATAACTGGTGTGAAAAACACATTGATTAATTTTTATGCCCTTCTGTGTCAGGCGTTTTGAATGTGCTTTTTAATCCCACTAGAAGAGCATTTTTACATTTGTCCATAGTTGTTGTTTTTTTGTTTACTTTACCTGTTGTATTGAAATATTTTCAACCTATATGTTTCAGAAATGACAAAAACATATGGAATTTAGTCAACTGATCTCACGAAGCAGCAGAGAGTGAAAACGTTTTCTAACATGCTTTATCCGTTCTAGTTCTCCATATAAATTCTTCTACTTTTGATTTTTACTATTACGTACTCTTAGTCAGGCCTTAAGACAGTTCTACACGACTGCACAATTTTTTGTTTTACTTAGCCTCGAACAACTTTTTAGTCCTTTAGTGGAATAATTTCATCTTAAATTATTTTTATCATTCATGATTAAAAAGGTTTATGTGTATATGCCAGTTCAACAGAACTCCAAACTGGAAAAACTGCTTGGCAAAGACAAGCTTGACCAATCCCAAATTGTAAGCTGGGATGTCCTTATACTCTGTACAAAATCAATCAGTAATGCCAAAGCTAAAAAATCGAAAAAGCAAATAATACTTAAAGATGGACTAAATCAGTCTATCTCTACAGTATCTTCAGTTTTTACGAAACAAAACAGATACGAATAGACTGAAATCGACAGTTTTGAATACAGAAAGGTGTCACAACTCTCGCTTAAAAAAGTATCATTTATCTTTTGTCAATATTTGTAAGGATCTTGTGTATATTTTAGATCTCTTCAGCTATGTATACTGATTTAAACGAACAAATGGATTTAAACGTCCCATTTGAACAATTTAAACAAGCAGATGAGTCTGCATCATACGAACAACAAAAACGAAAGAGAAAACCTCGACCAAGTGCTTATGAAAAAATTAATCAACAACTACGACAATTAGATAAAACGACAAATATTTGCTCAAGTGCCATTGTTTGCAACAGTGCTGTTGATACATTTCGTGCGTGTAAGTAATCATTTGTCTACTATCATTTCTTCTTCATCTTAGCAATATACTTTAGCTCTCGATTTATCCATACAACCTTTAACATCGATTGTTCATGAATTATGTGAGCTGATTAGTGCTCAGAATAAAAAATTAGATAAAAATTATAATGAACAGTTAACAAAATTACCTGAAAAACTAACAAAAGCAATTGACACTGGCAATCGATTTCTTAGATCTACTCAATCAGCTATAGGTGCTGGTACGCTAAACCATCCAGCAACAGCTCGATCACAACAACAAGATGAACAAGCACTATTGTCAATAAATGGATTTGATCTAAAAACTGTATCAGTATCTAATTCTCTGTCGGGAACTGGACGAAATATTGTTCGAAGAATCTACGGAGATGATGGAAGTGGATATGATTTAAAACCAGGTTAAAATTACAAAATTTCTAAATTTCTTTTACATATTTATTTTTTTTGTGTATTTAATTTAGGTGAATTCGAAATTATACTAGATGCCATCGCATATCTTCATCGTATTCCACTCACCGATGTTTGGTGTAAAACAAAATCAATTCAAGATTCGTTAATGCAAATGAAATATGATCGATTGAAACATACGTTAAAGAAAAAAATAGCGTCGACATCAGCAAACAATACTGAAGATAACGAAGTTGAAAATCAAACTCGTGATACAGAAAGTTTGTTTATTAATGGTATCAATCTTTTAGATGCTCCTGTTACACATTCACTAAGTGGAACAGGAAGAAATATTCTTAGACATATTTATGGACACGAAGCATCAGGTAAGATGAATTGAACATGTTTTTTGTTTAGAAAATAGTGTTGTATTTTGAACATGAGTCTTCTGAGCTTGAGCTTAAAGTTTTAGAGATATCACCTTACTATTAATTTATTGAGTTAAAGAAAAACTTTTGAATGCAGCTATAGGATTTGTGATATTGCTCATTACAGCATAATGAACTCGAAAAACAGAAGTTTTTTCTTTGCAAGCAAGCGTTCATTACTGACATTATTTTATACTGTAATCAGATCTGTACCTTAGATAAATTTGGCAGATTGTTGAAAACTTCATTGTAGAAGACAAATGCTATAAGCAACTGGAAAGATTATTTCATATAGCGAGTGTCCTATAAAGAATGAGCTCCTCTGCATTCTGTGTGTAAGGCAAGAGTCTTTCACATACAGCCTTTTTTTTCTCATAGTAGAACTGCTAGTTAATTCTACACGACGATAGAACCTATTGGCTCAACAGTGTGTTTTTACACCACGTTTTAAGCCTTGAATTAATCTTTCCTCTGATACTGGGCGCCTTCAATCCATTGCCGAAACAAATTATTCTATAAAAATAGGTCAAAGATTTAAAATACTTTACTAATGGGATCTTCATCTAAAAATGATGGTAAATATTTTGTTGAGGTCGTTGTTTGTTCAATGATGAATATGAGACTTCTTACTATTTTGTTGAAACGCCCACTCGTCTTCTCAAATCTTATTAGCACATTGTAAGACAACGCGAAGCACCTCTCTAATGTATTTATCATGCTTTAGTGAACCTTTATGTAACATTCATATTAATTCTTCTGAGCACGCGTCTATTCTTACCATAACTGTTGTTGGATATTTATGATTTGTCTAACTCCCACCTCTTTTGTCAGCATCAGTACTATTCATTTTTGAACATTATACATCTCATAAATATCAACGTTTTTCTGTGCGAAAATCAAAATTTTAATATTTCATCTTTTCAATGATTATTCTTCACACATCAGAGCTGGGCAAAATACTCGAAGTACTCGTACTCGAGGGACTAATACTCGTACTCGTACTTGTACTCGAGGTGGTCAGTACTCGATAATCTGATATTTGAAATTCCAGATGAAGTGTGTGTTATTTATGCGAAGAAAGTCGTGAAGAAGATTTACTTTTTTCTAAAAAGCATATCTATCCAGGATTATATAAACTTCCTCTAAAATACCTAACGGTGCCTGCGACATCGGCTTCTATCGAACGCGTTTTCTCGCAAAGTGGTTTTCTGATGAGACCACATCGAGCATCATTGACGACAAAGAATGTGTGTCTACTAACTTTTCTAAAATGTAACAAAATTTTACTTTGATTCCATTCACTTGAAGGTTGATAATACAATAAATTAAAAAAATGTTTTAACATTTCGCTTTGTCAGTATTTTGTTCTGAAATATATCAAATAATAAGAGACTAATTAAGAGAATAACTAAAGATAGGACTTTTTTTCCCACAAATTATTTTAGACATTCATAGTCATACCTGGTTCAATGGTGACTGTATTTAAAAAATTGGTGCTTGTACTTGTACTCGTCTCATACTCGAAGGCTCGGTACTCGTACTCGACTCGTACTTGAGAAATCCCGTATTTGCCCAGCTCTGCCACACATTTTGAATTTTTTTCCAATACAATTTTTTTCTTGATCTAGCCAGGTTGGTTATTTATTTTCTTTTTTCTTTTTTTGTAATATTTTTCTCAAAATATTCCCTTTTTTTTTACTTGGCTTTTATAGCATCGTTTGTATTATTCCTTTCGGTCTAAATGTCGATGTAAATAAGTATTATAGTTTCAGTATTGCTGATCATCTTACATGAACATTGACTGTCCTGATGCCTAAGGAAGCATTGAAATTTTGAAATATTTTTTGAAAATCATCACTATTTTCAACTCAACTGATTTAACCGTCAGTCTCCTGTGTTTTTTTTCTAATGAATTCAGTTACTGTTTTCATGTTTCATCACCATTTTTAACTTTTCTAACGCGAGTTCTATTTCTAACAGAAAGAGAATGGCCACTTAGCTAGAATTCCTCGTATAGAATACAAGTCGTTTTTTCTACTCTCTTCTGCCCTCGATCATTTTAGATAGTTTTTGTTAGAAATTTACTTTTTGTATTTTGTTTGTCGTGTGTGAACAGTTTGGAAAAAAAAACTTTATTTGCGAAATTCTTTCTGTTTTTTACAAGTCTCATAAAGAATTTCGTACCGCACTAAGAAAGAAAAGAACAAGAGAGTATTCCGTCTTGCGACTATCGCTACTAGTGCAAGGTGTTAACCGTGTCAGTAGCAATAGTTCAATATCTTGCCCTCCAGTTGACAAATTTCTGACTTTGTCACTCCTATCATTATTAGTCATTAACTACAACTCTAACCAGAAGAGTATCAATTTTCTTGTGTTCTGTCTCGAGTTTTATCGAGCATGAATATTTGACGTATGTGGATTATTAACAAATTAAGAAGTAGCTACATGAGTTGTCTGTTACATAGATCATCGTCACTTTTTCATTTTACTATAAAAAGATAAGAATTAAACTTTGTTTTGAACGAAGAAACTTTTTCTTGTATTTGACAATAAGACATGTTTTTTTAAATTTTTTATTCTTTTATTTTAGGTTTTGATATGAAAGATGGTGATCTAGAGTTAATATTGAAAGCGATCGCTTATTTACATCACATAACGATAGAAGAAGTTTTAACAATTGAAAAATCGATTAAAGAATCGTTACAACAGATGAAATATGATAATAAAAAATTACAGCGACAAAAAACGTCAAATAAACGCAAATCTTCAACCCCAAATAAAAAAAGACTTAATTCACAGCAACAAACAACAGTAAAACGAAAAACAGCTAGAAATAAAAAAAAACGAAACACAACTGATTGTGAAGAAGATGATGAATAACATTGATTTAGTAGTTTTTTATATTTTCTCTTGTTGTACAAAGAATCGATCAATTTTGCTTATTGTTTGTGTGAAAATGTTCCGTTTTTTTTGTGTTTAACATACAAATCTGTATTTTTTTATAGCTTTGAATGTTGTGTGTAAGATGTATACTATAATTCTCATGCTTCTCCAGTTCCGAAAATCTTGTAGTTATGCATTAGTAATGCGAGATTATTTTATCGTGTCATTTTCTATAATAGTACATGTGAAAACGTCTCGTATGGAAAAGTATGGGATTTTTTTCTCTGTTCACCGTTTCTTTCTTAGAATTTGCATTCGAAATGAGTTCTTGTTAGTCTTCTCAAAATGGACAATTCATCTAAGCATTTAGTTTATCTAAATTTTTTTCATCATGTAGTTTATCAAAAACAAACAAATGTTTGTTTTTACATTTGACCTTGTTTTTCTCTAGATTTCCTATTACGCGTGTTATTTCATTGTGAAAAACAATGGGTAAAAATCAGGCGCAAACATCCGATGACGATGATCTCGATGAAAACAACTTTGTGGTCGAAAAAATTCTGGATATGAAGGTGAAAAAGGGACAAAACCATTATTTTTTAAAATGGAAAAATTTTGATGAAAGTGAAAACACGTGGGTAAGTGTAAAATGGTCGACATACGTTTTTTTTTCGCGACTTTCCTACTAATCTGAATCACTTCAATGAAAGACGATGTGTGTGTGTTTTATATGGACTATATCACAGTGGAAGATAAGAATTATGACAGAAAAAACTTTTTTCCATTGAGCCTAAGATTACGACACTTGTTAGGATAGATAATAACAGTCATTTTGAAAATTCTAATAGATTGGAGGTTAGAAAGATAGGCCCATAGTCAGAACTTTTCTGAAGGACGGAACCAAAATTTTTTCTTAGTCAGGGATAGTCTGAATATTCCAGCTATTGGTAAACAGTTTTTCTTCTTTCGAAAAATGAAATTGTAAACCTGAAAAATAGTAGTAAATAGCGAATTAAACCACTTCTCGATACGTGTCAGACGAATGAATGGAATTTGACAGCGATGCCGGTTTCTTTTTATTTTATTGTTGCACAAAAAATACAATAAATTGGCATAAAATAAAGTCGCAAAAAACTTCACATTTCATATTTATTTCTAGCCTTTAAACTTACTTGATGATGTTGTAGATTTACAAAATCATAATTCTCATATACTAAGTGCCTTAAACGTTAGAGATAAAATGCAGTTGTGTACGTGCGATAAAAGAAACGGTCCTTTTTATAGACATTTCGCATGTGCTCAACATTGTACCGTTTCTCGCTCTGTAAAAACAAGGGCATTTGAACACACATTTTTATTGTAAATAAAATGTTGATTTGATATTAATTTGTTTTTTAGGAACCCGAGTCCAATTTAGATTGTCCTGAACTAATCTCTGCATTCCTTGCCACACGTAAATCAACTCCTGCCCGTACATCATCGTCGCTAAAGGCAACGTCAACAGCATCAAGCTCTAAACGTAAACTCACACAAACACAGAATGAAGATGAAGATAGCTCTCAGACAACCGTTTCGTCAACCGAATTGAATCACGATCAAACAAATTCACAATCAGCTAAACGGCCTAGAATTGAACTTGAACATACGGGCTATAGTCGACAACAAACAGTAGAAAAAATAATGGGTGCAACAGATATTTACAAGGAATTAATGTTTCTGATCAAATGGGTAAGTTACCTAAAAGAAATTTTGATTTGTTATTGTTACGTTTGATGTTCTTCTGTAGCAAGGTATTGAAAAGCCCGAATTAGTACCAGCTCGTATAGTCAATATTCAATCACCACAAATGGTAATTAAATTCTATGAAGACCGTCTAACATGGGCAGATCCACATGCCGAAAAAAATTGAATGAGATTAATTCTTTTTTATGTGTCGTTTGTTTTTCTTTCTTATCTAGTTTTTGTTTCTTTGTGTATACAGATATAAGAGATTATGTTTTGCTTTCTCTTTTGAAACTAATCGCGTTTTTTTTGTAAAGTCAAAAAAATCTGTAAATATTCAGCTTGTGTGTGGTTTCTTTTATTGAAAGAAAACGAAAATTATCAAAAAATGGTCTTTCGATTTTGGCTATACTTTCCTTTTGACATTGGCTACACATTACAACCCTATAGATCTTGCTAGTAAACATTTTTATTTGTAAATTCATATATCGGAAGTATAATCGGAAATATAAATATAAATTCATATTATCTCGGACAATACTTCAATCAAAACCTCAGAATATAAAACATGGCTATGTTTTGACCTTATTGTACGGTTTGGTTCCTATGTAAAAAGTTTTTCAAAAAAACTTCTGTTAATTTCTCAAGAAAACATTTTTTAATGTTCTTTTCCTTTTTGAATGAATATAGTCAAAGAACCTTAAGTTTTTTGTTCTGATTTTTGTATAACAACACGTTTCTAATCACATGAAGCGATTCAAACAGTCGATATACTAGTATGTGGGGACAACCGTACGATGATTCATCCAATCATTTACAGGTTTTCTGCAGAAATATGATTCTTTTCTATTACCAATTCATTGGATGAAAGTTTTAAACAGTCAAATGAGATTTCATTACCTGCTTTCAGTATTTTATGATCAGTTATAGTTACAAACATATTCTACTATTCTGTAATTGCAAACTAGCTTTCTACTGGCGAGATTAGTGCCCTCTAAAATATTGAATCACGAATATCTTTGTAATGATGCAAAACATAAAGTAATGGGATCGAATCACCTTGCACGGATCATTTTGTCTACGAATAAAGTTGGAGAAGATAGTTTGGCACATTTGCATCATATTACGAAGAAGACAATACTTTATTTTTGATTCAAATGGAAACAATAATCAAAAAAAAATTCGTGGTTAGATGCGATCCCTTTACCCATCAGCCATCTTGAATTTTTACAAAACGAGGCCGTTATTGCTGATAGATTAAATCAGTCGTTTTGGGTGCCGAAAAGGTACTATACTAAAGTGTTTTTCCCCTCTTGTCTTGTAGTCTACTGATCAGTGTGAGATATAGAGAGACTAGGATAGAACAGAAGGAAAGCAAAGTACAAAACTACGCTACACAATTGTTGGAATTGAACACTAAAACTATGAATTTTAAAGCAATTTTCAATTTTACTTTTTGCACTAAATTATCTAAAAGTAAACTTGAGATGTTCTATTTCTTATCCTATCCACGGCCATGGTGTTCTATTCATATAACTTATAAACTTGGGCTTCACACGCGGTCGAATACTCTGTGATGAGTCACAGGACACAGTAGATGTTACATGTCAGTCGGAGCGCCAAGCCTAAAATGCATAATAGAATAACGTTGTCCTCAATTCAAAATCTTAAATTTTGTCCACATTATGTCTGAAAGACTGTATCTCAATCAGAGAACTTATCCCTAAAATATTTTCTTAATCAAGCGTTTCCTTCTTTAGTAGGTCGTCTATGCAAAAATGTCGTATACAGAAGAGTAGTACATGGAAACGATATTCAATATGGTTGATTTCT